TCAATTTAATAGTCTTGTTATGTACAAGGTCAGCTGGCACAGGTACAAACTGTCTGGTTCTATTAGAGAGGATTTTTGAGTTCTAGTTTTTTGGTACATGGTCTATTATATTGGCGTGAAAACATGGAACACACAACAACAGAGACAAGGTCTCCACTCCTCTGGCCATCATGTAACTGATTCTGGGGGGTTCGGGCTTTCCATAGCTCTCCTCTCTGATTTCAGTTCACTTGGAACTAGAAGGGTCAGGAATTTTCTCACTTCAAGCCCCGCTCTTGCTTTCTGCTCAAAGTCACACTCTGTACGCTATATGCAGCAGTCAGCTAGTGTTCATTTGTCCCTGTTAAGATAATACATACCTAGAAGAAGGCCACATAGTTCCCTACTCCTCAAAACAAACAAAACTGCCTTCACAGCTGCCAATTTTACTTGCAAAACGCCTGTTAGGCCTTTCCTCACGTTTCCTCTTTTTCCTTTTCTGCCCGTTTGTCAGAACATTGTCACCTCTGAGCCCAGGCTCTTGCTGAGAGTCTGAGCACCCTTTCCTTCAGTTCAGGGGCTGTACTTAACTCCAGGCTTGTATTAGAACATGAACCCCAAAAAGGCCTGTGACACACAAGGATTAAGTCCAGCTGTCTTAGCATGATTTTTAAGGCCTGGAACCATCTGAGACCAGTGTGCTTTTCTGACATTTTCACCTCAGGTACCCTACCAGCCCTGTGTCCCTGTCACAGTTGATGTTCTACCAGTTCCCTAACATGTCATGTACCTTCATGCTTCTGTGACCCGGTTCCACCACTTTCCTCCACCCAGCTTGTTACTCGTTTTCTGGGTGGAAACTTACTTTCCCATTAAGGTCCACCCAGGTGGAATGGAATCTGTGCAGCAGGCTCCCTTATCTACCCTGATGGATGTCAGTGATCGGCTGAAGAATCAAAGAGGCAGTTAAAGAAGGAAAGAAAAGAACAAAGCTAACACACCACAGCATTCTCACTTAAGACATCAGGGCAACCATGTTTGAGTCTTTGGTGCCAGGCTTTCCAAAACTTTTTATTACATTTGGTTAGCGTCTGGGTGAGCGTTCGGTGCATACGCCTCGGTGCGCTGTGGAGGTCAGAGAAAAGCTGCAGGAGTCAGTGCTCTCCCACCACGTGAGTGTCGGGGATTGAACGCAGATCGGCAGGCTTGGCAGCAAGCCTCTGTCTCTACTGAGCAACGTTGATGGCCCATATGAACGGCATTCTGAGTAGAGTTTCTCTGATGAAAAGTCTCCATTGTTTTTTTTTTCTCTCTCACTGATTAAAAGTCTCTATGAATCTTCATAAATGGTAGTCATATTGTTTTTATTTTCCAGTTTGGATTTGATATAACGGAGTGAGAATACAGAAGTGCCGAGGGGCGGGAGAGACGACTCAGTGGGTAAAGTACTTGCCTTGTAAACATGAGGGACACGAGTCTAGATCCCCAGGATCCATATAAAGAGCCATATACTTATAATCCCAGAAATGGTGAGATGGGAGGTAGATCCCTGGAAGCAGGCTGGTCATTTAACAGTTTAGCCTACTTGGTAAGGTTCTAGGCCAGGGAGCCTGGAGCACACAGCAAGGCAGAAACAAGAGAGGTGGCCTCAACAAGGAGGAGAGAGAGAGAACTGGGTCCTAAAAGTTGTCCTCTGATCTCTGCATGCATTCCACGTGCATGTGCCTGTACACCTGAACACACATACACACACACACACACACACACACACACACACACACACACACACTAAATGGAATAACATAAAGAATTAAAAATCCCAAATTGTTTTCTTTATGGTAAAATAGTTAATCTAACTGAACCTTCATAAAACATTCAGCTTAATTTTCACAGAAGCACATCTTTTTGGTGCTTGTATTTCTTTACCTCATGCAATATTTTGCTTAAAAAAGCAGGGATCATCTGGAGAAAGGGCTATAGTTTATTGGGGTTGTATATGCTACCCTGTGTGTGCTGTGAAAGAAGCATTCTGCTTGATATCCATCCCACCCCCACCCAACCTCCCACCCCACCTCTAACCTCTCGCCCCTCCATAACCTGGGCATGAGCAGGTCCAGTTTATGTTGCTAATCTTTAAGGCAGTGCAGTGGGAGCCTGTCAATTCCTCCTGCTGTGATGCATCTGCTACCCTGAGCAGAGGGCCTGATGTGCTCATCTGTGGCTTTGCTTTAGAGTCCGACACACACACACACACACACACACACACACACACACACACACACACACACACACGCTTGCCAGTTTTTCAGACACCCAGGTTTCTGAGGAAATCCTGACTTGGTTATTTAGAATTGTTTTAGGCATTTGCTGTGCCGATGCTGAAGACAAACAGTTACTGTCTCAGGATCCTAGAGAAACAATCCTCTGTTTCACAGTTGTGATCAGAAGGTCACTTTTGATTTGACCAATCATGAGCCTGAACAAAGCCAGATGGGTGTTCTAGGGGCTTCTTATTTAGGTCACCCCTCCAGAGATAGAGAGAAACATCTTTCTCAGATCCTGTGCTGTTATACCTGGAAAAGCTTTGGAGTTTTTCTAAGACTACCCCCACCATCTCTTTGTAGTGGACAGACTGGTACCATAGAGCTGTTGCTACTCTGTGATTGCCTGTCCCTCTATACCTTCCTAGGTTCAAAGCTAGGGGGCCATGATCAAACTGACAAGAGAGAAGACGAGTTTTGATTTTGTACATATCCAAAGGAACTCATAAAAAATGTGGCTCAAAATGAGGCCTATCAAACCGGTTGTCTTAGGCTAAGAGAAGAAAGGGGCTTGTGGGCTTTTGAATGTCGAGTTCCGACAACAGGAGCTGCTGTGAGTCAAAGAAGGGCTGTCACATCTGCAGCAAACAGTTGGAGTTGTCTTAGATTGCAGCTCTCCTCCTCCTCCTCCAGAATCATCCTTAACAGTGGAAATTTCCACTGTAATCGTAGCATTAAAATGCCTTTACAAGGGGGAAATTCTTACTCTAGTTTTAGGAAGTAAGGGAAAAGTTAAAAACTCCAGTTGCTTTTAGTTTAAAAATTATCCATATGCCCCCAAAGCATATTTTGGGTGACATCTCTGGCCTCCCCTCACCCTCTTAGTGCAGGTCTTCTGTATGTGATGCCATCAAGAAGGCCCTTCTCAGTAAATACAAAGTTAGATAAAGAGGGAGGGAAGAAGAGGGAGTATTTTTGACCACTTGCCTAAAAATAACACATGTTTTTGCTTTTCATAGTGTGGCTAAATGCTACTTCCTTGGGGGAGGTGATTCACTGGTTTGATTCACACTAAAGTATAAATGTGTTTCACATTCACTCTGTTCTGATCAGTAACTGAATGGAAGGATAAGGTGTTAGAATATTCAGACTGAAAGCAGTTAAAAGTGTTAAAAGTGGCACTTGGGGCTGGCAATGTAGCTCAGTAGACAGAATTCTTGCCTGCTATGAGTGAAGTCCTGGGTTCAAGCCCTGGACTAGGTGATCAAACTGACAAAATTGACAAGAGAGAACTCGAGTTTTGATTTTGTACATATCCATAGGAACTCATGAGGTAATCCCTGTAATCCCAGCAATCAGGAGGTAATGGCAAGGGGATCAGAAATTCGAGGTTGTCCTTAGTGAATTCAAAGTCAGCCTGGGCTACATGACACTTTGTCTGAATAAAAAAAAATGCCCTACAAACAAACAAACGTGGTATTTTGACTAGTAAGCCTTTTTAATACAGGCAAGATGCTAGGGATCTTACATAACAGGATCCTGTAAGGGAAGACGGCAGGGAAGAGGAGGATGTGGGAGTGAGAAATGGGTTCTTCAATTACTGCCATTATTTCTATAACTATGCAAATAGCTGTTGAGATAAAACCATCTTCTTCAAGAACTCTGTAGACCTAGGTGGACGAATACCCTGAAACATAGTCCTTCTAGTATCCACGTTCCCTCGGGTCCTGTAAATACCCTTTGTTCCAGGTCTTTGCTGCTTTTGAGTGTCAAGTTTGTACCATCTTCTATATCCACCACACGCACACCCGGGTTCTGTTCATTTTTCTACATTGTATGTAACTAAGTAAATGCTGTATTTCCTAAGAAGAAAGAAAATTTAGCTATGGAGCACAACTCCTTACTTCACAGTTGAGGAAGCCGGAGCTGGGGCTTAAGTGATTTGACTCAGATAGCCCAGCCGGTGAGCCAGCTGTGGAGGTATACTGAGCATTTTCTGTTTTACTCACACCTTCTATGTGAATGGCTTAACTCCAGCTCTAGCAAGAGTCACTAACCTTCTGCCATTTTTACACCAAGCACCATGTAATCTCCTCTCTTTCTCTCTCTCTCTCTCTCTCTCTCTCTCTCTCTCTCTCTCTCTCTCTCTCTCTCTAACACACACACACACACACACACACACACACACACACACACACACACCATCTTATAATATTTTAAATAAGTCTACTATTCTGTATTTAGTCTCATTTATTGCTATCTTGGAGCACAGGCTTCCCATGGGCTGCAAGTTGGACCTGCCTTTTGGGTGTCTTTTGAAACATGTGACTCTATTTTCCTATGGTAACATTGAGCTGTGGTGGTCATCTGACCTGTTCACTGTGAATCTGATGCTTTATCTATAACCTTTGACCCAAAAGTTTGGGCAATCAGATTTTCTTATTTAGAATCTGGATTAAAAATGGGCTTTGGCACTGATAAGGTCCTAGTTTGGAAGGCATTTGAATGGCTATGAAGAAGCTATGCCAATTGGAACTGTGAAGGAGCATGAAATGAACAAAGAGAGAATAGAGAAATGGAGGATAGTCAGACAGGAATAAGTCCTTGAGGAAGAGGTCACATGGTGCACACAGCAGCCAGAGGAAGGAGTCTGTGCATCAGTGGTTCCTGGCACTGATCTAGTTCTAGCTAAAGACCAGTTGTGTCAACCATGTGCTCTTTTAAAAGATAATCATGACTTCTATTTCTTGCTACAAGCAGATGCCGTTGTAACATGGAAGTCAAGCCCAGCTTCCTGGCTGTTGTTACAGGGGAACTGAGGTCAGTTTCTAGCACCTATGACAGGTGGATCTGGAGTTACAGATGCAGGTGCTGGGAAATGAACCTGGCTCCTTTGCAAGAGCAGCAAGTGCTCTTAACTGCTGACCCATATGTCCAGCCCAAGACCATTTTAATTAAGAGGAAGTAACTACATAATAAGCAGATTTTTCAAATCACATCTGCCCCTAGACATGCTAAACCTCCCCGATTACCAACATCCTGCATTGCACAGCTATGTTTACTGTAATCGATAAACACACATTGATATAATTTTACCCAGAGTCCATGCTTTCCATCAGGATTCATCTTGGTGTTGGACATTCTATGGGTTTAGACATTAGCATAATGACATGTCTCTACCGCTGTAATATCCTATACAATAGTGTCACTGCCTTAAAAGTCCTCAGTGCTATGTGTACCCTTGCTTCTCCCCAACCCCAGACAGTCACTGATCTTATGGTCATCAGTATATGTGCCTTTCCCAGAATGTAATCTAACTGGAATTGCACAGTGTGTAAATACTTTAGATGGACTTATTTCATTTAGTAATAGCCATTTCACATGGTTCAGTAGCACACTCATTTTTAGTGCCAAATCCTATCCCATTGTCTGCATGTTCTGCAGTTTATTTATGCTCACCTACAGAAGAACATCTTGGCTACTTCCACATTTGATAGTAGTGAGTAAAGATGCTGTAAGAATCTGGGTAGAGTAGGATTTTAGGTGGACATATGTTTTCAACTCATTTGAGTAAACACCAAAGAACAGGGGGCTAGAACATATGCGGAGAATGTGCTTAGCCTCTTAAAGGTAGGATGTAGAAGTGGCTGTGGAATTTTGTATCCCATCCTCAGAGGGGCCGGTTCTTGTTGCTTACTACTCTAGGTTGTGTTTGGTATTATCATCACCCTTGATTTTAGCTATCTAAGTAGGTGTGCAATCGTCATTGTATCAATTTTTTAGTGTGTGGTGTATGCACCTGTATGTGTTCATGTGTATGTGCCAATGTGTGTGAAGGTACATGTGCATGTGAAAGTCAAAGATCAACCTTGGTGTCTTCCTTAATTGCTCTCCATGTTATTTTTTCAGGCAGGATCTCTCACGGAACCTGGAACTTGCTAATTCTGCAAGACTAGCTGGCCAGCCAGCCTCAGCAGCCTTTGTCTCTACCTATACCACTTCAAGTACTGGGGCCATTCTTGGTTCAGTGTCTCACTCTACAGACAGAACCTATCATGGGAGCTCCTTGGATGGGAAAAGAGAAGAGAGAGGACTCTGCCTTCGTTAGGCCAGTTTCCTTGGCCTATGTGAAGCTGGACAGCCTGACACATACTGTTCATTCCAATGACAATTGGTGCTCTGCCCTTGCACAGCCCTGCTCCACCCCAATCCAACTGCCAAAAACCCATTTTTTTAGACTTCAATTAGCCTTACCTGGGCAGCACAGCAGCTTATACTGGTTTTCTTCTCTGTTCCTTGATTGGTAAAAAGTCTACTCAGCTTGCTATGTGCAAGCAATATTACCAACTCTTATGTAAAAGCAGATCTCTCTCTCTCTCTCTCTCTCTCTCCACACACACACACACACATATATATATGTAGATAGATAGATAGATAGATAGATAGATAGATAGATAGATAGATAGATATAGATATGTCATTGAAGGAAAGAAGAAAGGAGAAGGGAAAAAAGAAAAGAAGGAAGGAAGAGAAAGAGAAAAAGCCAACAAAATTATAATCACTACCTGATTGTAGTGTCTGCCAATTTTTATGCTGTATATTCCTTGGATCTGGGAAAAGATGCTTAGTATCGGTTCTTAAGAGCAAGTCCAGTTGGCTCCAGCATGTCACTGGAATTTGTAGTCTGGTCTTATTATGGTGTAGTTTTCATGCAGACTCCACAAACATTCAAGAAAGGGATTCAGGGGGCCTATCTTATAGTTGTTGGTTTAGTTGGTATAGTCCTGTGTTTGTCATATAGCCAGGATATTTGCTTTCTAGAATCTATAGTGTTGGTTATTGGGAGATTACCCTCTCTAGACCAGCTTAATGGACTTTTTGGAGGTAGATAACTAAAAATGTCCTTTAACAATCATAAAGCACAGAGCCCCTGGCTCCAAGAGAAGCCAGACTACCCAGTGAGATACAGAGCAAGTACATACACCAACTTTTTTTATTCTGGGAACAGGGATGAGGACCCAAGGACTTCTATATCAACACCTCTCCACTCTTCCACTCTTTTGCTTCTCAAGGTCTGTGATGGTATTTACAGGAAGGATTAAGTGGAGGAGGCACATTTCCATATATAAGAGATCTCATATATAAGGAGGTCTGATGGACAAATTGATGCTTTTGCCTATCTGCCTTCACTCCTTGTTCATGAGTGCATCTACTCTATTGCTGCTGCTATGGTAACCTTTTGCTGACATCAGAGCCCAGCTTCTTCAGTCTTCTAATGTGGACTAAAACCCAGCAGCTCTCCAGACTTCCTCCAGGCCTTCAGTGTCACATAGAAGTGCTGAGGAATCCAGCCTCATGATCTGAGCATGATGGGATGCAGACAGCCATTGCTGGACACAACTCATATCATGTGATCCAGTCTAATACATTTCTTTTCACGATATATATTAATTCTATCAGTTTTTTGTAGAGTGTCTTGACTAATAAAGGTATAAGATTATTAGTCACATAAAATGCAGCTATAATGGAGAATGTGCCTCAGGAGGTGTCATTGGTATAGAGACAGGTTTTAACAGGACATGTCTTGGCCACTTACTACAATCATCTTGTGGCTAAGAACATCACAAGCCAGAGTTAAGCTATAGTTCTTGGCATATTTTATGACATTATGGCCATGGAGAGTGGCTAAAAGTAGTGTGAGATTGATGTGAGGGCTCTTGGGGATGGCACACAAATACCATGTCAGTGCTTGTAGGCAGGGGAAGAAAAGAAACCAGACATGAGTCTCATGGAGGGCAACCGACCAGCTTCACTCCATCCTGCTCTGCTCTTTGTTGCTTTCAATTCCTGTTTGGCTCTGGCACAACGTTTTGGGCCTGGACCAAGCAAGTTTCATGATTGTTGCCCACTGTCTAGACTTAATAGTAAGTTTGCAGGTGGCTTTACTGAAGGCCTAAGACATGCTGGCATGAAATGGCTGCACTTTGGTTTCTGAGGTGCTTATGGGAGCGGACTTGGTAAAGTTTGTCACTCATGACAATGGGCTGTTTTAGATACATGGTTCCAAAAGGGTGACCCTAGACATTTTAAGAAGTGAGGTGGGACCAAAAGACTTCGGTTCTTATAGTTAGTCATCTTGTAATATGAACTTGAAGGCTGTGTACGCAGCTTTTTCTCTTTGAACTCTGAAGCATTTCTATGAACTAATCTCTCTCTCTTGTCCTACCTCTCCTTATTTCTAGAGTCCAGTTTGCTTAAGATGACCTCATCAGACTTCCTTCCTACACAAGCTTCTCTGGATATTGCGTCCGCCATTGTGGTGGTTGATATTTGACCATCAGCTTGACAGGATGTAGAATCACCCTCAAAGTGTGCGCCCGAACAGCACCCCTTCCTTAGGCATTATGTCACAACAGTGAGAAAAAGTAACGAATACAGTCACTTGAGCGTTAGTATGAACTAATGGTACCTTAACCTGTGATGTTACACTTAAAGTATCCCAGCAGAGGAACTCTCCCAGAAGCAACAGAATAAAACCCAGGCACGTTCAGCTTCTTTCATCCATCCCAATACAAACACGGGTGCAAGAAGTAGATATTTTAAGACAATTGCACTAAACTATTCCTTTACACAGAGTGAGAATATGTTGTTCTTTCACTTCTGTTCGTAGTTCCATCACACTGGCATCTCATCCTTTGAAAATCTGAGAGTGTAGAACGAGAAAGCTGAAAGTTCAGCTCAGAAGGAGTCTATGTAACTTACACCAAGTTTCTAAAAGTGTGCCATGTTATATAATCCAGGGGAAGGCATGGAAAAGTACTAGCTGATGTGGAGCTGGAGGCTGTCCTGCCTCTGACTCACTGAGGCAAAAGCATTTGAATTAAGATACATCTCAGAACAGCCAGACGAAGTCCATTCATCCTCCAGGATCTCACACATTCACTGTGGGGGAGTAAAATGCAAGGCTAGGAAACTGGGAAGAGAGGTGAGTTCTCAAAGTTGGCTCCTGCTCCTCTTGAGGCCAGCGTTCGAGGACTTTTCTAGTCCTTCCAGCCATCCAGTGCTGTCTTCTGTTTCTATACCATCACCCCAGTGTGGGAAAGATGACCTTCAACTGTCCCCTAGTTTCTGTACTGTGGCCTCAGACCCTGTTCTGGGTTGCAGAGTATTATTGCAAATGGAAAAGTTATGTAGAACTGTGCCATTTTGTCAGCTAGTCAAATAACACATCTTTATGTGTAGTTCCTATATATGCAGTTGCACATGTATCTGTGTGTATTTGGAGGCCAGAGTTCAACCTCAAGTGTTGTTCTTCAGAAGCCATCCACCTTGTGTTTTGTTTTGAGCCCGAGTCTTTCGCCGGCTTGGGGCTCACCAATAGGCTAGACTGGGGCCAGTGAGTTTTAGGGATCCAACCACCTCTACTTTCCCAGTTCTGGAATTATAAGCACATGCCACCATGACTAACTTCTTATTCTTTTTTAAAAATTATATGTAGATGTGTGTGTCTGTACAGGTGAGAGCAGGTGCCTGTAGAGACCAGAAGAAGGTATCAAATCCCTTGATGCTGGAGTTACAGGCAGTTGGGAACTGCCTGATGTAGGTGCTAGGAACTGAATTCAGGTATGTGCTCTTAAGCACTAAGCCATTCTCTTTAGTACCCCCCCCCCCACTCCTTTTTTTAAAGTGTGAATTCTGGGGATAAAGCTTCTGTCTGCATGCATGCAAGGCAAGCACCAAATTGACTGAGTTATCTCCCCACCCACCCTACCCTGCAAACAGGACAGCTTTTAAAAAGTAATACCATAGTATCGTCATTTATAAACAGTTCATAGCTATGTATGGTGTGATAAAATTATCACGCAACCATGGTCTAGGAGGGATGACACTTTGGAGCAGGGGAGCTTTTAGCTCTAGGTCTCTTTTGGCTTGGGGTGGCTGTCCTCTTTCCTTAGATAACTGTTTAGGAACCTCTCAGATGCTTCTGCACACATTTTCCCTTTAGTTAAGTCTCCCGACTGCTCCAGGGGGTCAGAAAAAAATTTATTTGTGAACATGTGTGTCTTCAAAGGAACAAACTTATCATTTAAATATTCATGAAAGGAGGAGTTAAGGCATAGTGGGAGCGTGGAGGGCACACAGGATGGAGCTCAGAGCTGTTAGAAGCCTTAAGATGGGTGGGGTGGTTGGAATGCCTGGGTTGTGGTGCGTGGGATGGTCACTGATGCTGCACAGGAATGTTCTACCTGGTAGCACGGCAATGCAGGCCAGGTGTGTGTGTGTGTGTGTGTGTGTGTGTGTGTGTGTGTGTGTGTGTGTGTGTGTGTACCAGTGAGTTTGTGTGTGTGTGTGATTGCACTCATGTTGTTCCTTAGATAACAATATATCCACCTCATTTCTTTGACAGGGTGTCATACTGGCCTGGAACTTGCCAAGTCTACTGGGCTGGCCCACTAGTGAGCCCCACCGATGTGCCTGTCTGTGCCTCCCCAGCATTGGGATTGGAAGCTCAAGAGACTGTGCCTGGGGTCCTGCCTCCAGGACTCCCTTCTCCACACAGGAAGTGACCAAACACTCACAGTGTCTTTCCCCTGTGTGTATAACTTACTTTTTCTGCTCTTGTGTCCAAATATAAAGCAACTCAAGAGGAGAAGGGCTTATTTTGGCTTACAGTTTGAGGGGTGACAGTCCAGTACTGTTGGGAAGTCATGGTCGCAGCAACATGTGATGACTCCCAAATGTGAGCATTACAGGTGTGAGCTGTTATGCTACTCAAATGGTTGTCAGTTTATGTTCAAGAAGGGCCACATAGTTTGGGAATGCTTTTTCTCTTTAAATGTTTGAGTCAAGGAGCTTACTATGTTGTGCAAACTGGCCTCAAACTCTCCGTGGTTCTTCTGCCCAGCCTCCTGAGTGCTGGGATTACAAGTAAGATGCTAGAATTCCAGAGCTGAAAGGGAACCAAGAATACAGGGTCTAGTCACTTATTTTAAGGATAAGAAAGCAGGAGTGGGTCTCCCAGAGGGAAGTAGTCAATACAAGACTCTTAGCAGGATCTCTGGCTTCCAAACCAGTGACGCTTTCACTGTGTCAAATAGTACTCTGTGTTTCAATTGTCAATCTTCCTGCCTTAATCTACTTCCTATAGGAAGCCATTCTGGTGTCTGGCCAGTCCCTGAATGATCTCTGGCCCCAATGAAACTGGTGGCTAGCTACTATTCCTTATTGTATTTGCACTAGTAATTAAAAAGCTGTGAATCAGACACTTGGGAACTATCCAGCTCCTCACCCCCATCTTAGGATATTACCTATGACAAACTAAATAAAAGGAAGTTCTTAAAATATGCCTACAGTTAAGCAATCATCCAGCTACCTGATGGCTCTTTTTTTTCTCCAAAATTAGCTTTTTATTGACTCTTTGTGGATTTCATATTATGCATCCCAATTCCACTCATCTCCCCATCGCCTCAATTCTACCCTCTGCCCTTACAACCCCCCAAACAAAATTTAAAAGTAAAACAAAACAAACAAACAAACAAAATCTCAGCATGGAAGCTGTAGTACAACCCAGTGAGTCACACAGTTTACCCTTCAGTCCATACAGTTTTACTTGTAAGTGTTCACTGCAATGAGTCATTGGTCTGGTTTGAGGCCTCTGGCGTCTGCTATACTATCAATACTGAGTCCTCACTGGGATGCCTCTTGGATATCCTATTATTGCCTTCTGTCATGGAGATCCTTAGCTTTGAATCTGCAGGTCTGGACCCTTCTGCAGGTCTGGACCCTTCACACGCTCCAGCAGTTCACAGATGAGGTGGGTGTTGGGGTGGGCTACCTTATAGTCCTGGTTCTGGGCCTGGGTGGTAGCTGCGTTCGTCAGTCTGCCAGCTCTCCCTCATCATCACCACCCGAATGAGCTCTCCAGCACTGCCCTGGCTAGCTCACCCAATGTAGCAGACAGCAAGGAGTGGGCCGGTTCTCCTGCTCTCATGCCCTCGGGTCCAGCTCGCACTCACACCACTCGGCTCAGGGCCAGCTCTACTGTTTTGCCCAGGTGAGATGCAGGGCCTGCCCTCTGGATTGCTGCACTCAATGAGAGGCAGGGCCAGCTCTTCTGTTCTCATGCCCCCAAGGTCAGCTCTCCTGCCTGTCGCAGGTGGCAAGGGGTGGGGGAGGGCATATTTCCCTTACCTTTGCCATGATGCCTCTTTTTAAAATGGATATATGTGTATGTGTGTTCATGTACTGTGGTGATATTTTATTTGTGCTCTAATAAATAAAGCTTGCCTGGAGATCAGAGGAAAAAGCCAGCCATTATATTAAACAAAAGTCAGGCAATGTGAGCATATGCCTTTAATCCTATCACTTGGCAGGCAGGGATCTATCTGGATCTCTGTGAATTCAAGGGCCACACTGGGGAACTGAGCCAGGTATGGTGACACACGCCTTTAATCCCAGCACCAACCATAGAAGTCTGGAGGTCGTTACAAACAGACAGGAAGTGACAGAGCTGGGCAGGAAGAGGAAGTGATGTAGCTGGGCTGAGAGAGTGAGTGAGAGAACAGAACAGAAAGGCATATAGGCATGGGTATATAGGAGTAGGTCTTTTTGGAAGCTGCGGAGTTGGTGAGGTAAGGTTAGCTGTGGTTTTCCCTATTTCCCTGATCTCTCAGGTTTTCACCCCTAGATCTGGCTCCATGTTTTTTTATTTAATAAGACTGTTTAGAAATTCGTCTACAATGTATGTTCATGTATGTGTGTGTTTGTGCATTCATGCATATGTGGTGTGTGCACATGTGTGCAATGTGTGCATGCAGGTACATGTGCACGTGTAAGCATGCTTGTAGAGGCCTGAGGGTGCTTTCCTCAGTCTCTCTCCACTTTATTTATTTATTTATTTTTTTTGAGGCAAAGCTTCTCTCTGATCCTGGCAGTCACCAATTTGCCTAGGCTGGCTGCCCAGCAAGCCCCAGTGTGTGCTAGGATTATAGGTGGGTGCCACCATGACTGGCTTTTTCTATGTGGATTCTGGGGACACAAACTGAGGTCCTCATGCTTGTACAGCAGGTTCTTTACCCTCTCCTCACCTCCCTTAGGAGGCGTTTAACAGAACAAATGTGCTATAGTAAGGAAAGTGAGAAAACACCCAAGTTACTTTCTTTTACTTTTTATGTGGATGTATTTGTGTATGCCTGTGTGTAAGTATGTACAGGTGAATGTGAGGGGGCCCTTGGAGGTACATGTGCATGTGTGGGCATGCTTGTGGAGGCCTGAGGTTGGTGTCCAGCCGATCCCCAAATGGTCTCTGGCCCTATTGAAACTGGAGTTAGTTATCATTCCTTATTGTATTATCATCAGTCATTAAAAGACTATGAATCAGGGACTCTGGAAATATCCTCCACCCCAGGAGCCCCTGGAGCTGGAGTTACAGGCAACTGTGAGCCAGTGTACATGGGTGCTGGTAACCCATACCCATCTTGGGTCGTCTGCAAGAGTAGTACATGCTCTGAATCTCTGAGCCCATTGAGAATTTGGCAGTTTCTAATGAGATTCCAGCTCTTGCCAAGATCCTGTCAGTTTATAACAGGGGTTTTATGATTTCAGTCAATTATGGAGACATTTGATGAGTGCTCTTTTGTTTTACATACCTATAGAGAATAGAGAGAAATTCATTCATAGCTTCCTGCTAGGAAATAGTAAGTGCCATTCAAAGTTGGTGTCTCTTTTATTCAAGTTTGGGTGAGTCATTCACAGCTAACACTATATTTAGTATTTGCCAAAATGGGCATAATGTTACATGGAAGCAAATAACATTGTAGTCACCCAGCCTCCCACACTGCATATCCCAGATGGGCTTCAGGAGGCCGGGATGGGTTTGCACATCTCAGACTTAGCCTTCTAACCCTCCCCAGCAGCTCCTGCCCCGAGGAGTTGGGGTGACCTTCCTGTCCATGTACACATCACACCCTCCTACATGGCTCTGGAATCTGAAGGCCCCTTTGAGATCTAATTACAGCCTAATCTTATGGAAGCATTTTCTCAATTAGTTCCCTCCTCATAGATGACTCTAGCTTATGTCAAATTGATGTAAAAACTAGCCAGCATAACAATACTCTAAATATCCACCATGCTGTGACAAATGACAAGATTGATATATAAAAATAAACCGACTAGAAATAGAACTTCTATAACAAGGAGTGAAATCCACATGTCAAAAGGGTGCTGGCCCCCCAGTTTATTGCAGTATGTCCCGATTTGCTTTTCTGTCACTGGGATAAACACCATGACCAAATGCAAGTTGGGGAAGAAAGGGTTTATTTCATCTTACAGCTTATAGACCATGACGAAGGGAAGCCAAGGCAGGAACTCAAGCAGGAACCTGGAAGCCAGAAATGAAGCAGAGACCACGAAGGAGGCATGGCTTGTTTGTCTTGCCTTGCTCGGCTTAATTTTTCTATACAACCCAGGACCCCTTGCCATGGACTGGACCCTCCCAGAAATATGCACTAGTATTATAGGCTAGTCTAATGGAGGCATTTTCTCAACTGAGGCTCCCTTTTCCCAGATGACTCTAGCTTGTGTCAAAGTGAGAAAAAAAAAAAAAAAAAAGCACCAACATACAGTACTATGAGCCAAGATAGTCCTTGGAGACTTCACCAGAGCCAAGATCGCCCTATGGAGAAATGCACAAAGAAAATGCTGTCTATAGACATAGTGCACATGCTGTCAGTGGAGTCCTCCTGAAGGGTTCCAAGAGGTGCTGCTCAGCCTGTTTACTGACAGTCTTATTCCCAGAGGGAGCTGCTGGGGCATCACCTACGTCATCAAATTTCCAACTACGTATCCCAGGGCCTCATGAGTCATTGAATTACAAGAACTGGAATCTTGTTATGGCTGTGATGAGCAAGCCATCTGTGGTCTACTCTCTGTCAGCACAAAAAGATATGGTAAAATCACACACACACATACACACACACACACACACACACACACTCTTAGCATGTCTATGCTTCCTTGAGATATTAACATTTTTCTAATGAGATCCTAAGTCTTTGTACTCTTAGGGTTCTCAGTTGTGAATTCCAAGAGCTCAGGATTTTTGAAAGATGGAGTAACAACCTTTGAAAGTAGAGAGCTTTCTTCTGCCTACTCATGGTGAAATAGAATGGTAGGCCACAGGCATTACAGAAATCCAGCCATCATTTTATGGCGGTTACTAAGGCCTTTTGGAGATTGGTTGCTGCCCTTGATATAACTAATAGCTATTGCCCATGCAGGTGATGGAAGCCAGTTTTACCAGATTATCCATCATGCATTGCTTCCCTTAATCCAAATCCTCATGTAGCCTCATGTCAGAAAGCTCAGTGAACCTTACATTTCATGTCCTGATCTATGAACACGGAACTATTCTGAGAAAAAAGCATAATGAAGTTTTATAAACATGCCCATGTTATTCTGCCTTCTGTTGACATAATGAGTCAGGAGACTGTCACCTTACGAAGAGAAAACTTTGCTTTGGCTTACGGTTTTGAAGGTTGCAGCCCATAGTTGGCTGACCCTGTTGCTCTCAGGAGAAAGTACTACATCATGGTGTGGGAGCGTCTGGTGGAGGAAGACTTCACCTGCTTCATGGTCAAAAGTGAAAGGGAAAGAGAGAGAGAGAGAGAGAGAGAGAGAGAGAGAGAGAGAGAGAGAGAGAGAGAGAGAGAGAGAGAGCAGGTGTCTGCCAGAGGAGGAGTGCCAGGCTAGAGAGTAAGTCCCTAACACTGGGGCCTTTGCAGGCATTCCAGATCCCATCTATAGCATTTCCCCAGCAGAATATAGGGCTTTGGTGACAAGCCTAGGAATCACCTGCCTCAGACATACACTGGTCCTATGAAGATAGTAAACACATTTTAATGTTATTGGGCACGTGGCCTTAGAATCCATGGCCTCTGAATGGAGGATACAGTGTTGGGGTATGGAAATGTTGGACTGAGGGATGAGCACATGGTTTATGGGGGATGCTGTAGTAAGATGACTCAGGCGGAATGTGTGAAGTGAGATAGCTTCAATGGCAGCTGACTTGGGAAGTGATTTTATCTGGCACTGGAAGCCGAGGTAAGACGAGAGTGAGAAGAACTCGGTATAAACTTGAGTTGGCTTTATTTTACTCTGAGACCAGGAAAAGAGATACTTATTACTACAAGTGCAACTTCATTCCCTGCATTGGAACTATGTCTATTTCATTAAGCTTAAAAATGCTTTTACAAACCCACATGAGTGAGGTCACTTAACTAGAGAGGGGCATATTGACTGGGTGTGATGCCACACGTCTGCAATCCCAGTACTCTAGAGGCTGAGACAGGAGCATCATGAGTTCTAACAGAGACTCCTAGTGAGACCATGTGTAAACAACAAACAAACAAACAAACAACAACAACAAAACAGGGCATGTTGGGCCAAACAATACCTACACTCCCCACTATTACCTGGTTCCATCTACCTGCCATCTGCACTGCGATGGGGCCCATAGCAGCTCTATTCCTCATCTCCATCTCTGCTCAATGGTGTCATGGGAGTTTTGGCTGCTCTGGCCATCGCTGTGCTCCAAGGAAAGGCCAGTCTCCACCACAATACTGCTTTAAGGAGCTCCCATCCAACAGTGCAAAGATGCAGAGTCCCACGGAGCTCGTTGGAGGAGAGGGGGTGGGGGCCTTGACCGACTCTACTGAATTCAGTGGGAGAGGAAACTTCAGACAGTGCTAGTAAGTGTGGTTCCCTGTGCCACAGAGGCAGAGGCTCCAGGTCCTGGAGCTGTTCCTACAACTGGTTTGTTTCTATTGTAGAGATGGAGCTTTTCCCAAAGCCTTCCATTAAAGAAAAGGCTGCAAAATGAGAAAACAGATTCGGGGGGGGGGGGGGGGGAGCTGGGACCACTAGTCCCAGATGATAGAGACAGAGATGACAAGAATCTAGGTTCTAGGTGGTTCAAACGGCACCACTGTCTACTTTCTCTTGTTCTAACTCAGCTCCCCTCCTACCAAGTCTTCAACCGTGAAACTCTGTCTATGGGGAACAGAACGCCAAGGTCACTACAGAATATGCTTTTAATAAACAGTTTACTGTTGGTGTTGAAGCCTGTGACATTTCTGATAGATGTCCAAGACAAAGCAACAGCGTAATGGCACAATTGCCTGTTTATGGATAAGTCACTGTGGATGAGCGTCACAGACCAGTTTCACAAGCACTATCAGAGTTTAAAAGATTAATCTTAACTATGTACTTGGAAATCCTATCTATCCATCCATCCATTCACCTGTCACTCATCCATCAATCCATTTATTTACCCATCCAACCATTTAACCATCATCCATCCTTCCACCCATCACCCGTACATTCAACTAACCATCCATTCATCCCTCCAACTATCTATCTTTCCATTCATCCATGCACCATTTTCTATCATCTAACCATCTGGCACATACCTACTGAGCTTCTGTTGTGTAGTATGTTATAAAAAAGAGTGATATCCTGAGTCAACAGTGAACAAGATAGGGTACTTGTGGTAGTTTGAATGTAATTGGCCCCCATAATCTCATAGGGAGTGGCATTATAGAAGGTGTGGCTTTGTT